AAGATGCGAAGACCAGCCAACAGGTGAGGCATGGGCCTGCCCCAGCACACATGCACGCACTGTGGGACGGCAGCCCCCCTACGACGGGGGTACATCTGTCACAGTGAAAAATAAAGGTTCACAGGAAAAACTGAGGCACAGGGCTATACAATGATCTCCCCAAATGATGTAGCAACTAAGTGGTGTGGTCAGGATTCAGGGTCTGCACTGGAAACCAGGACATTCAGGGGCCTCCCCTCGTGTGAGCGTCTGCTACACACTGCTGCTGAGGTAGGACTACTACCTCATTTCACCTGCCTCGCTGTCTAGCACATTCAACTCTTCTTCAAATCTTACCCCTGTTGGAAAAGAGAATATGACAGTTAAATGCCAAATTCTTGCCCAGTGAGCTACACTCCCACTGACTGTCCTCCATCTGGACTGTAGTTGCTCAGTAGTAACATTTCTACCTTGCCTCTATCCCAAGCTGGTCCCTGATGCTTGCCGCCAAACCTCGCCCATGTCTCTGCCTCTTTTACCAGCCAGCTTTCCGTGGCTTTCATGGAACACTTGAATTGCCTTTCTTTGCATATTTACTAACAACTTCCAAGTGTTTTGTACCTTAACCTCCTAAACAAGTTTCATTGGGAACTACATTACAATGGGCTGGTCATTAGGATAACAACTCATGATCCTCAATGTATTTAGGATCCAAATCTTGACCTATGTATTCACACCTACATGAACTACCCAATTCTGCTAGGATTATCTATTGCTACATGACAAAACATCCTAAACCTAAACCAACAGTTTTTCTGCCAGTGAATCGACAGTCTGGGTCAGGCTTAGTAAAGAAGGATCACCTGCTTCAGTGTCTTCTGGGGCACCTCAGCTGAAGGCAGGAACACCTGGTTCCAATATGGCTCTCTCATGTAACCAGGAAGTTAGAGTTGGCTTCTAGCTGGTTTCAGTCAGGGCACAGGGCATGGCCTTTGTGTGTCTCCACAAAAACCTCTTCATGCAGTACACTAGCAGCCAAGATAAGCTCAAAAGTCTGCCACGGATGACAGATTCTTTGATAGGGGATTAGCAAGATTTTGGAAAAGCACATGGAACAGAAAATGTAGTTGTAGTTACGGACATTTTTAGCCTACACAATCTCCCTATCTACCTTCTCAGACTTGCCCATGTCAACATTTCTTAGCACCACTTGCCAACAAAGCTCTCTACACTAGTAGTTATCAGCTGAGGGTAAGTTTGCCCCTTGGGGACATCTGATGATGTCTGCAGACATTACTTTGAGGTCACAACTGAGCACATGTAATTGACAGTGGGCAGAAGTCGGGTACATCCTGTGATGTTTATAACAGTTCCCCACGACACAGAATTATCCAGACAAAATGTCAGTAATCCCAAGGCTGAGATGCCTCTGAGCCAGCCTGACTTAAGTGACTCTGCTTCACCTGGACCACACAGTACCGTCTGTGAGTTATCTGGCTGAGGAGTGTGCCCTCTGTGGCAATGTCTGGCTATCCCAAGGATGCTGAAGGTCTGTGTTACTGTTTCCAGGTCAAATCCCTCCCTTCCCCTGCTGTGTTGAACTAGGTGTATTCAGTGTGAGACAACGAAAGCTATGAACTAACATTCTAGAGTCAGTGTGGCCGAATCAGTACTCAAATACCAACCATTTAACATCCAGCGAAAGTGAAGCAAAAGCCAACAGAGCATCGCGTCATCCTCTTGGGTGCTCACCTGACTCTCCCTGGCATACCCATTCCAAAGGGCCTGGGCACCAAAGACGAAGGCACAACAAACATCAGGCCTCTGTCACGGAGAATCCCCCTTAACTAAAACAAGTTCACACACTGACGTCTCTTTCCCACCCTGCCCCGCTGGAATTTGGTTCAGGCTCCGCGTGTTGGGACTGATCCTGAAGATGGTTCCTTGGGCCTCTGAGCTTCACACACTACGCACACTTTTGTGAGATGCAGACTCTGAAGGCCCTCGGAAGCACCCACAGGGTTTCTTCATTTGCAGGAAACAAGACTGAGTCCAGAGGAAGAAGGTTCCAGCACAGGAGGCTGGGCAGTCACCTCAGCACCATCCACAGCATGATTGTGTTCTACATGATCCAGAGCACCGGGCAGGGCCAGCCGTCCCCATTTGACCGGGAAGGCACGATGGTGGTTCAGGGAGCTGTAGGTTCTTAATCATGCTTGGCTGAAGCTCATCATTAAATTTAATCTCCTGTCTTTGGGCAGACACTGTCTGGTTAGTGAAGCCACGTAAGTACAGATGGACAAGGAGAATCAACACGATCCTTTCACTTCTGGCCACAGTTTCCCGGATGGTATCTCTCACTACAAGCAACTAGTCTGGGCAAATTACATAAAAAAGCTCAAGTTTCCATTCCCAAGAATGAAAAACCCTCCACTGTCTAAAAACAGTAAAAGAGACTATAAGCAAAACGTGAGTCAGGATCACTCGGCACACAAGAAGGAGGGGGTCACACTTGTGATAAACGCAGGGCTCCAGGCCAGAAGCAAGGGAGGCTATGGCATGAACAAGAGGTGGGACTGGACCTGAGGGTTTTTAGTGCAACACAAGGGACTATGTCCTTGGCCAAAGGTCAAGCTCCAAGCAAATGTCAGCAAAGGAAGAACACCAAAAACCCAATCTGTCTCCACAAAGGTTGTGGGTTAAAAAAAAAAAAATGATTAATATGGAAAACAACAGTAAGAACAACATTCTCCCCTGACCTTTAAAACCGTCTTTTCACTTGGGTCTGGAATAAGGCTGAAAGCTAAAGATCTATAAATCTAGCCTAATGAATTACAACACAACAAAATAAATCCAAAGACATGGAAGGTAGATACCCATACACGCACTGTTAATGACCGAAGACAATTAGAAGCAGTTCCTTTTTAAAGCAAGAACAGTTCAGATGCTGGAAACAATCTACTAGCACTCAAATTCTACATAGGCTACTTGCCACCAGTGTGACTTTAGACAGCTTAAAAATCTCTGGGTCCTTCAGTTGCACCACCTGTAAAATGAAGTAACGATACCAGGTGCCTCGTGTGGTTATCATGAAGATTACACATTCGATTTACCTGAAACACTTAGACTATGCAGTCAGTCCTGCACATGTTCACCACTGACGCTGCCATTACTGCTTTGATCCATATTCTACCAGGGACCTACACAGCACTTAGGATGAGAAAAGATGCCATTTAATATATGATATGGCTGCCTGCCTGATCCTTCAAAAGTATCTTGAGAAAACATATTAGAATGAGCATTTGAATTTACTCTGCAATATAAAGTTATTAGCATTGATGTGGGGCAAGATGTAAGGACACTATGCAAAAGGCACTGTCAACAAGACATTCAGTCTAGTGATGCATATCAAAAATATCTCACAATGAAGTTCAGTTTGAGTAACGCAGAAGTTCTTCTATGAGAATGATTTTTACCTATACAAGTTATAAATATTTAGAATTATAAGGTATCATGATTAGGAACTATGTCTCCTTATAGGAGTTAACTAAACAGAGCTAAGAGTAATGATACATAATTGTATTCAATGATAATCACCTCAATATGAAGTTAAAATGAACCCAGCTGACTCCTTCTCTTGTCTTTCCTTTCTTAAACTAAAGGAGCATTTTGGTCTACCTTCTCCCTACTGCAACTACACAGAAGGACATGAATTTCAGCAACATGCTCCACACACATTCAAAATCCACAACTCGGGCTTCCTTTCAACACTCTTAGCCCCGGTGCAGTGTGGAACCTCAGTATTACAGCACTCACCCTCCCAGCTTCTTTCCACACCAGGCAGTACCTCACTGGCACAACTAACGTGCCTGCAGGATCACAGCCCAGGGAGTATTAAACATTACATTCTTCAGAATTTAAAAACTACATAACATAGAACCATTCACAAATTGTGACACTATCATGTGAACAAAACAACACGAATAAGTAATTCTAAGTAAACAAATAATAGTTTATTTTAATCAAAATTACACATGATAAAGCATAACTAACCAGCCTCTACATAAACAAACACCTCTTCTGTATAAGGTAATTTCATTATGCCTTCTAGATGTTGATTTTGTGGCTCAGATTATTGACAAATAACTGGATATTTTCAGCTTTAATTATAATAACCCAGTCTAAAATTATTAGATCTGTCTCATCAAGTTCTGGAAGTAATGGATAACCTTTCTATTTGAGATATCATTTCAAGCTTTATTACTTAAAAGCTTAAGAACCAGACCATTTGAGGCCTTTTAAATTTTTTAAGAGATTCTGAAAGATTAGTAAAATTATACCCATACATGCACAAACTCTTCCTTGTAAAATCAGTTTCAAAAAGTACAATATAAGCAGAAGTACAATCTTCAGTACAAATAAATGCAAATGTGACTTCAAGCTAGTTGCCACACAGGACACGAACTGTTTTTATCTCTGTAGCCAGTGTAATAAGTGTAAGTGTTTAAGAATATAATAATAATGTTAATCTTGACCAAGTTACTCAATGAAATGCACATTTTTTAAAACACAGAGGTTTATTTATCTGCATATATATTTGTTCATTTTGTTCAGATCAACTTTAAAATGTATACATATTAATAACACAATTCTTGGCTGATTTGAAGAGGATCTAATAGACAAGCTAAATGTAAAAGATTTAAAAAGAAAACTTACAAACTAATATGCAAACCAATAAAAAGTCCAACTAATAGAAATTAATCATTTGGAAAATGGTTACTTCCCCATATATCTAAATTAATTGAGGGACGTGTTAAGAAAAAAGCATCTGGGGCTAACGTTGCTCATTTATACAAAGCAAATTACACTTCAGTGCTTATTCCTGCACCCATGTAAAGTTTTTTAAACAATAGTTTAAGTGCAATAAAAATGTACTACAAAATTGTGCAAGCCAGGTGATGAGGAAAAAGGAATACATTATTTTAGAATATTAAAAGATGAAAAGTAGCAATGACATTTACCATTTTCTTCCTCTTGTATTTTAAGCTGATGATTTATTTGCATTTCTGCAAAAATAAAAGTGAAGCACAGTTAATAATAGATCTGTCTGACGATACTGTAAGTGGGGGAAAGAAGTGTGAGTTTAACTCTTTAACAGTGGCAGAACCTTAGGTTGATTTTCAACAAAGTAGAACATAAAGCATTGCTAAGAAACTCTTTAGATGTATTTGTATCTGCACCTTGAAGAATAACTGTAACTCTCATACAAAAAGGTACTCGTCTGAGAGTACTGGGGAATCATCTTCCAGGCTGTCCAGATGTAATAAAACCACCTTGTACTTTCTTCTACTGATGACTTCATGAATCCTCACCTTGAAGATAAAGTTCAATTTCTGAATAAATTATTCCTTGCGACATATAGGGAATCCACCTGAAGAATACGGAAAAATAAAAAAATTAATGTATTTTCTTGATTTTTTCCAATAAGCTTGATTCTGCATTGATTTTGCATTCTGCAAGGTAACTATAAAAACAGCTTTTTATAGTTACAGCCAAACACAAGCCAAACTGTTGCATACTCAACATTACACTAAAAATAGCCAGAACAGCGGCTGGAACCATAAAATACGATCTGCCTGGGGTCATCAGTCCTCGGTCACTAGCGCCTGTCAGTGCCACCGGGGCTGCAGCAGAGCACACGAAGGGCCTGGTGTGAACAGAGGCAAGAGCGCGTTGAAGATCTTGAGCCAGCCTAGAGAGGGTAGCCTGCCCACTGGCTTGTCACAGAACATAATTCCACCATGTGAATCTTTTCTCTCTGAAAGTCTTTGTCTTGCATTTACATGATTTCCTCTAAAATCTTCCTCAGTACCTTCAAAAAGAATTGTATTACATTAAAGTATGGTAAAAATGCTACCACTTTAGAAACTAGGCTTCAGGTAATAGCTCACAGATACCTTCCCTCTAAATCAGACAACCCTGTGCTAGAAGCTCCCTGTTGCAGGAAAAGTCAAGATTAGATTCAATAAACCAGCTTTCCTACTGACTGTTTCTGTGATCTTAGCCTCTTAAAGCTTCGTTTTGCTGACTAAATTACCCACTTCATAGAATTGTTATGAAGCTGAAATAAAAAGCCATGCAAAAGTATTCTACAAGCTATTAAGCAGTACATAACTGTAATTATTTTACCACAAACCCCACAGCTACTGCTATCCTTCATTAAACCGTTCATTCCTTCCATTTATCCATCCATCTGTCCACTGGGTAAGTTTGGGGAAAGTGCCTTCTGCGTGCCAGGCTCTTCGCTAACTGCAGAAGGTGCTTCCAAGTAAAGGAGGGGAACTGGTGTATGAAGATATAAATGCAATGCAATATCGTGAATGATGTAAGAGATACAAATAGAACAGGAGCAGAAAAGGCGACTCTAAACGCCTTTAAAGGAAAGCACAAAGGAATGAAGAGCAAGAAATTTCATCTATGAGGGGATATTTGAGGTGCAGTTGGGACGACAAGTAGATACCCGACAGGCAATGAGGTCAGAGAGGACGCTGCAGAACGAGGGAGGGTGGCCCTGGAAAAGGCGTGGAGATGTGATGAGATTCCGTGCAGCTGAGCGCCGGAAGCCGCTGGGTCAGACAGCTGGGGAGCCCGTGGGCAGGAGGGTGCTGAGGGTGCGCGGCACTCACTGATGGGGGAGGGGTCACAGAATCTGAAAACGTCACCGAATTTAGAGGCAGAGCTCTACTATACTGGCCTTCAAGTCACCAAACGAGATCAGACATGGCGCGTAAAAGTGAACTGTGGGCTCCTACGGTCTCCAGCTGTCAGGACCATTCACCTGTCAACTTTTCAAAAGCTGCAACAGATCCCATTTCCTCCTGACCACCGCAGCTCACGGTGTGCTTTCTCTCCCTCCCCTGGAATCCAGCATCACACACTACAACTTACCTTCCACATTTCGTCTACCTATAGTTATGTAAGCTTGCTTTATTGGTTGAGTTTTGGTTAATGTACCCATCTTTCCAGTTAGACTGTCTCCATAATGAGTTCATCAACCAGAATAAAGGTATTTGGTTTTATGTTTAAGGATATGTAACACAGGCTCTGGCCTTGCATGGAAATGCATGCTTGTAATGCTCGCTGCTCGGAGGCTGAGACAGCAGGATGTCGAGCCTGAGCCCAGCCTGGGCAACTTACGGAGACCTTGTCTCAAATAAAAAATACAAATGGCTAGGATGCAGCTCAGTGGTAGGGTGCTTGCCTAGCGTGCACGAGGCCCCAGGTTTAATCTCCAGTATCACAAAAGCCAAGGAGCAGAGAGGGAGCGAGGACGGCAAGGAGAGAGGGAAGAGGGAAAGGTGGATACAGTTCTGGATTAGGAGTGGGGCCAGACTCATTCCAGATCTCACTAACGATACAATCCTAACCCACAGACTCTCTTGATCTTTCTAAGCCACAGTTTCCCATTTGTAAACTGTGGATAATAACAATGATAACAATAATAATAATAGTAGTAGTACTAGTAATACACAATAGGAATGCAGGTTTAAATGCATACACACTTATCATGGTGTCTGACATACGATAAATGGTTAATAAATGTCAGTTAATACTGTATTTTTTCATCACCAAGTGCAACACCTTCTATGCAGCCGATAACGCAGCAAGTATATTTGGGGTGACTGGCAGTCCACCAACAACCGTCCCTCCTCCGGCAGCTGTGCTGAAAAGAGGTGGGCCTTGAGCACCATTCTGCTGTACCAGGGGACGCACTGGCCAGAGAAGGAAGGGATGCCTAGCCCAGGCGCAGTCAGTCTGATGTTCTCTCTTGAACTTGACCTAGAGATAGAGAACGGTGACCACACGGGGGCTCCTCAGTGTCGCTGAGGCCAGCTGGTACCACCGAACCCAGAGCTGGTCACAAGCCAGCGACACCAGAGAGCGGGACCCGATCTGCAGAAAGAACAGAGCTTTTTGATGAAGACTCCCTGACAATGCAGACACGGCGAGCGGCTCTTGCTGAGTTTAGCTGGTTCACGATGCCCAGGTTTATTTCTTAAACAGGGGTCCTCCTACGAATGTCACCGGCGAAGCTGTCCTTTCTAAAACTGCTTTAGTGAATTTCTCCTTCCTGCAAGCAAGCCAGGGTTTATAATCTGAATAAATTTTCCTGAAAATCACACTCCCTGGTCTTGTCTTTAATCTAGTCAATCCTTGAAAACCTCTCCTATGGTTTTTTCACAATATACTGGCCAAGAAACAATACAATACCCTTAAAGCCAGAGAAACATTGAGTACTGGGCACCTATTAAAAATTATTCCTTCTGGATTACTGTAGGCTCTGATGTCTCAAAAACTTGCAGTCATCAGGACTATTCAAACAATCTCCCTCGGGGGCCATCACTTCTATGAAATGCTTACAAAATAGTTTTATACTGCCATCAGATCTTTATTCTAAAAAAATCCTCTAACCATTCTGAATGAGAACAGGACAGTTTTTAGTTGCCCTAGATAAGAGTCGGTTGCAGCATGCACCTATTTTCTCCCACATATGTTTCTATAACCAAATGTGCTGCAATAGACCCTCCAAAACAAAAACAAGCCGAAGAGAACCAACCAAGGTTAGGAGTTAAAGATTGTGAGTCACGTTTCCTGCATTAGAACAAGAAGGTCCCCCCCACACACCCCCCCCAAACAGATGGGAAAAGTGGCTGGAGCAGTATGGTTTGAGAGGAGTAGAGCTGATATTAAAGGAAAGCAACAAAAAGCAGGCAAGAAATCTTTCTGGCCCTGGAACACCATACTACTAATGTAAGCACCAGCAGAAGAACACCTCCGTTCAGGAAAGGGTCCCCTTTCACTGGTCCAGCTAAAAGGAAGGCAGAAAAGCAAAGCTCTCTAAGTCTTTAAGACTAGAGAGGACACACCATGGAACGTGTCCTCCACCTAGACATGCTGGGGAAGAACATAAGAAGGCCAGGAGTGGTACAGATTATATTTTGTCTGACAAACATTTTAGACAGGGCAGCTGCTCAGACACACTGAAAACGGGAAAAGATATCCTTGCAGGCTCCGAATCTCCACCCCTACCCTGAAAAAAACGAGCAAGAGCACGCCTGGGCCTCGTTCCGTCAGTCTCCCGCCTTCATGGCTTGTCACTCTCGCACCACGGAGCGCCTCAAGCCGGCAAAAGAGCACAGAGACGGCAGCAGCGCAAACGCAGCCTCAGAACAGCACGCAATGATTAATAGTGGCCTCTTTGGGGAAAAAAATTAGCAAAGTCAAATGATTCCTCACTGTCTCACGATAATTTTTATTATTCTAGTCTCTCTGTAAAAATAATATTTTATATTTCTGTACTTAATCAAAATCTCTACATCATTTTTTACCTACGTTGCTGATCATTTCTTACCAGCAGTAAGAACGAAGCATGGAAAATGCTTTGCAAGCGATAAGAACAGTCTCCCTATTAGCCAGATAGGGAAAATACAACCGTTTGTATATAGGTTAATTACTGTGAAAGTAAATAAATGCATAAATTTTTTTAAAGAAACATCTGAGGATGCTACAGAAGGAACTCAAAGATTAGGTGACACCTAAGGTTTCTTCCTAGTGGGATTGCATTACGGTTTTGACTACTTTCTTCTTTCCTTCCTTTTATCCTTCCCCTATTTTTCTATAAATACTGGCCAAATTCCTCCTTGCTATAAGATACGCTGTTGGACAATAAAAAGAAATGTGTGAGACCCTTCCTTGAAGAAAGTTGTCATCTGGTACCTGAGACAAACACACTCGCTATGACAGTAACTAACACTATGTAATAAGTATTGCACAGAGGTTTAAACCAAGCCCTGGAGGATTTTTTTAAAAGGTAAAAATGAGCTCATCCTTGGTTGAGCAAGCAGAGAAAGCTTCATGGCACGGATAGCAGTTTGTCCTAGGCCTCAAAAGGTAAAGATTTCAATAAGCAAAAGAAAGAAAAAAAAAAAAGATTTCAATAAGCAGAGAAAGGATAAAGTGAGCTAAGATCTTCGAGGTATGATTAGCAGTGTCCCTGGAGAATATTTAGTCAAGGAAGCAAAACGCACTTTACTAAGGAGAACTGCAAGAGGATACTGGAAAGGTCAATGACTAAGGCGGGGAGTATAATTCATTTCAAACCTCTCAACACAAACTAACACTTGCACACAGGATGGCCTAGGTGTAAAGTTCCCTTTCCGACTGTAATTATGCAAGAGAAGGGCAGTGTTTCAACAGGATTCCCAGGTTCTATTCCTGTTCCTCTCCCCGAATGATTGTACTCAGCCCTGCTCTGCACAGGACTTAGCTTATAATTTATTCAAAACTTGACTAACTTACCACATACTTACTGAGCACCCACTATGTTGCATGTTTGTCTTGTGGACATTGAAGGTCCTTGCTTACAATCTCCTAAACGTCTTCAAGAATGATTTTCCTGCAATAACCACCAGAGATGACCCAGGGCAACTAAGCAAGGAAGATGCTTTGCAAGCGATGAGAACAGGGTCATGGAGGGGTGACTTTCCCCCCTGCAGGTGCACAGAACCTCTTACATCGAGTCGTGGCCCTGCTGGTACTTGAGACCTCAGTGATGCAACAATGGGGAAAGTGCCTCTTCCTGTCCAATAGCCAGGGTGAAGATACCACTGTCATAGGAGGTCATCCAGCAACTTTAATTTTTCAAGACTGAGATATATCCCCAGACAAATGAGCCATATTTTTCTTAAAAATCATACCTCTGCTAATTCTAAGAGCAACTGTTAGGCTCTTTGTTATTATTAACAGTTGAACTTGATAATTTAATGATCATTTTGTTTATATGTGTCTTAGTGAAATCAAAGAAGAGTTAGACCTTTTAGACTTCATGTTCTAATTCCAAATGTACCACGTTCTCCGATTTTTAGAGCTCATGTTGTCCTGATTAATACATGGTCCTTGGTTCAATTTATTACACGTATAAATTTAACCTATTCAGTTCCAGGAACCACAGTAGTAAGTGAAAGTCAAAGATATTGATCAGTCCAACCTTGAGAGAAAGTCTACTGAGAATTAGAAGAGTATGGTAGGTAGATAAGCACATTCACATCTACCTCAGCACAGCGAGTGCTGTGTTAACATCACACGTCTTCTGAAAGGTATACAGGAAAGTTGTACTACCCAAGCTGAGGCTTCAGAAAAGACTTCCCAGCAAGCACCGTGCAGTTTATGCCAATGCACCGGTGAAGACAGAGGTGAAGGGGCTCGGGACTACGGGTACCAGGAAAGGCCAAGAGTGAGGTGAGCGGAGACAGGACGGCATCAGCCGAGAACACACTGATGGCTGAGGACAGCAGCGCGGATCTGCGTCCGCAGGCTCTGGCAGGGCCGTGGCCCCGCTGTGTGGCTAAAGCTGGTTTCGGCTACCATGATCCCCACACAGTGCAACCGCAGGAATACAGTAAAGGGCTTCTTTGCTTCTCCTGCTCAAGCACCTGCCTCGTCTGCCCGCAAGGGCCTGGGCATTTTAGCAGAGTAACAGAGCCTTTCCCCAACAGTTAGTAGGAAGGTACTGAGGACTGGGAAACACTGCATGTAGACCTGGAATGGAGGCAGCCTTCCGTACCCCGAAGTGCCCAGGACTTGCTGATGGCTGATTCTATCCATAGGAATCTGCTTTAAGTCTCTTTATCTCCCACTTTACCCAAAGGAAATGATCTCAACTGTTTAAAGAAAAAGCAATGAGCACTGAGTCAAATTGGCAAGACCTCCTTACAGGTGTTAGCTGCAGTACCGCTCAGGAGCACGGTCTCGGCTCCGCTTTGCTCTTCAGGTTAATATGCCTCGGGGTCACTCCACCTACTGCACAGCTGACCAAGAGAAGACAGAGTGGGTCATGCCTCTCTGCCTTGACCAATCAAGTTATGTCTGGATTTTTTATCAGTTATTTGCATTTAACTTTTCAATTCCTACACCTATAGATTCTCCTTCTACTTAGAATTGCCTTAGGTAGGGCCTTTACCTCAAGAAACTTGTTCCTGAGAGCTCCTACCAGTGTCATGTCCCAAACCATCAGATCCAACAAGGTCTAACACTAAGGTCCCCGGCATTCCTCGTGTACAGGCAGAAAAGGTTGGCTGCAACTGCTTGCACATCTAGACCTCCCAAGACCAAGAGGGTTAACAAATCCATGTTATAAATCACACTGTTTCTGCACACACATACTGACATGCACGATATACATACATAATGCTACGAGCTTGATAATGCAGAAACACAGCGATCTCTAAGTTAATGCTAACTTACATTGTGGTAGTTACTCAAATAGTGTTCCCCCCAAATTCACATCTACGTAAACCCTCAGAATGTGATCTTTCTGGGAAGCAGCGACTTGCACATGTGACTGAGTAAACTGAGGTCACGCTGGAGCAGAGCGGTCATAGTCCAAAGACTAGCATCTGATAAGGAGAGACGCTGTCACAAAGGAAAGACAGCCGCGTGACAGCAAAGGCGGATAAAGGCCCGATGCATCAACAGCCATGGAACGCCAAGGGCTGTGAGCAGCCACCGGGAAGCTGGGAGAGGTCAGGAGAGGTTGTCTCCCATGCCCTGTAGGGGAAGAATGGCTTCGCCAACACCTGCACTTCTGACCACTTGCCTCTAAACTGTGAGAGAATACATTTCTGTTGTTTAAAAACACCAAGTGTGTGGGACTTCATTACAGCAGCCACAGGAAACTACAGTAATACAATTAATGCATAAGAATAGTCAAATGAATTTGTAAATTTACTTGAATGTTGACCCTAGTCAGATACAAATTTTTCTCACTCCAAACCTCAAATAGCCAAACCTTCGGTGTAAATGGCAGAAATTCGGTGGTATGTACTCTTCTCTATAGAGGCAGAAAAATAGTATTTTCAGGTATAGAAATAAAATGACAGCATAAGGACGTGGGTGCTCCCTGGAGGGGAGGGAGGGTGTGAGAGTCTGCAGGAAGCGTCTGTGGCGCACAGAAGCGCCTCCCCAGAGCTCAGCTCTCTCACCCAGGCGCTTCCCTACCTCGCTCACAAACGGACATGCATGTGGCGGTCTTGCCACTCCAACTCACAAGCACTGTAAATTCTTGCTCTTAAGGAAGCTCCAAGAAGCATGACCAAGATTATCCTTCCGCTTCCTTTCTGGAATATGCCCACCTGCATCGCAGACAAATGACTCACATCTCTGGGTGCCCAGCCCCCTGGACCTCAGACTGCAAGGAGACTGCCCAGCCCAGCCCCGCCATGCAGCCGCAAGTTCTCTTCTATCCTCCTGGATGCAGCCTTCCAGACTCCATGTTCCTTAGGGGATGCTGTCACCGACCTCTCGCATGCACACAGAACGCTCTGGGCTTAAAGAAACACTGTAAATAGTTTCAGAATGGTCCCTCTGCTGTAAGAAGGAAGCTTCTACGCTCCTGTTCTGTTCCTGCAGTTACATTCTTCATTTCTTTAAGAACTAAGGAAGTAGGATCTGTATACTCTCTTTATATCTACAGAACAGGAAGGAATGAGATTTTATAACTACTTTCTTCATCAGATTATCACATGAATGAGCACCAGTGCTATTATTTCTTCAGGACTTACCTTGTGCAAGGCATCAAATATCAGCATTTGATGGTCAGGATGATGTATTTTGGCCTGTTATTCTGGGCCATTTAATATATTTTGTAAATTTCTTCAGATATAATCCATTCACACTAATTAAGCTATCACTACGCCTCTTCCTTCCACACAGGACCATGTTAGACTCATAATAAGAAATAAGGTAGCAGAGATGGGTGAGTAGAGGCAGTGGGGTGATGGTGGTGGAGGCTGCGTGGATTGCATGAATGTACGTGCAGATAGCAATGGTGGCTATGCATAAATCTAGAGACTCCTTTAGTAGACTTTATACTTAAAAGAAATAAACTAAGTTGATGTGATCAAGTACAGCAGAATGGAGAAGTCCCTGGCTGAAGCACTCCCTAGTGATCAACAGACGTGCGGGAATAACATACAGTACCACCTCACACCTGGGTTGCCTGGGCACTGGGGTGGGAGCAGCTAGAGACATCCAAGTCCTCTTCACTGCTGTGCCCCTCATTATATAGGGAGGCTTGTGATACGCACAGCACAGAGTAACCACAGGGGAAAAGAAAAATTACTTGGTTTGTTTGTTTTTTGTCTTTTTGAGATAGGGTCTCCATATGCAGCTCAGGCTGGCCTTGCCCCCAGCCTGGTCTCAAACTCGAAATGATCCTCCTGCCTCAGCCTCCTGAGTGCTGGGATTATAAGTGTGTGCCACCACGCCCACTTGAAAAATTATTTTTGGGTGGATTTCCTAATCTACACCCTTGGATTCCTAGTGCTTGTTTTGCCTAATTTATGTTTTGCTTCACTTCCTATCGATAATCCATTTGAATGAAAGGCTACAGGACATCTCCAACACTGACAAACATAGCCCAAGTTTTTCACCCACGCATCCACAATAGATAGGGTTCTAATGAAGAAACTATTCATACTCGATCCCATTCATGAGTCTGGGACTGACTTCTTCTCTGTAATTGAGAGACTAAGCAAAAATAACAATAAGTGCCCATGCAGCCGAAAATGGGAGTTTTCTTGAGATAACAGAACTCAGCAAAGAACTAGAGAGCAAAGCTTCTTCCTACTCAAATAACTGCTGTTGATCTAAGCAAGACTGTTGATGAGATGTGCAGAGGGAAGAATCTGTGATGTCTGGGGCTCATACACAAGAGCAGTCGGGCCAGGTCAGGAAGGGAGGGAGTTTCTCCTGGGACTCACCTTACAGGGCTCACAGGAAAGCACAGCTTGTCTAGATTAAACCTTTGTCTTCCATACATTCTGTGCTAAAGTTCTTCTCTCTAAAATTCTCTACTCTAATCCCCTTATGAAATTTTTGTATCACTACAATCTTAGTAACTTAAAGAAGCCAAAAGTTAAACAAATATTCTCTCTATTTATGTACTAATGTGCAGTATTCAACTTTTGAGCTCTTGTGACACAGAATATTTTGGCAAAAAGATATAAGATGAGACATTCCTAAAATGCTTAGCAAGTGGTTATTTACTTAAACACACAATCAGTGACAAATGTTGCACAATGTGCGGTTCTGAGTAAATGATACAAATCCATAACCTACAGCACACACCACAGACACACACACACATGCGTGTTATCCACTGTGAAACACACTCCTCTGAAGTACCACAGAGGCCCGCCTTACCTTTCACAGGTGAAGGTGCACTCAGACGCAGCGCCGGGTTCCCTGACCACGACCTTCTCACAGTACCAGTACTGTGACTCGTCACCGGCCTCACAGCGCAGCAGCACCTTCTGCAGTTTCCCGAGCGACACTGCCTCTACCTCAAATTCATCAGCCTGGAGCAGGAGACAGAAAGCCACAGTAACAGCTGCAGTCCAGCAAACGATAAACACTGGCAACAGTCAGAGCCCGAGGCTGCCAGGAGCAGCACAAATTTTAAAAGAGATAATGTTACTGCAGTTAGCGTCAAAGAGAGCAACGAAGGAAGAAAAAGAAGCACATTATACTTTAGCTCTTAAAATACGTTTTGGCTGTTTTTTCTCTCTCGCAATTTTGTTTTATTCTCTTCCAGTATCTCCAGTGTGAACAACACACCCCGACAGCAGAGCTTCCTCCGGGTGCCTTCCTCTGACTTCAACCCCTCCCCGAGAAGCAGCTCATTAGGACGTGAGGTTGACAGCCACGGCACCTAAGGTAGAACATGTCCTTTCCACAAATACTGACATACTTTAAGCATGAAAGACTTTTTAAAAAATTTCCCCTCCTTTTCTTCCAGAAATCCCTTTGGTGCATTTTTCTCTGAATATGAAAATAAAGCACATTCTTCAGTTGGTTGTGAAAAAGCCCCCTCTAACCCTCATTCCTAAATAGAAAGAATTCCATTACGGGGACTTAGGGATGGTAACATCATGCATCTATGGCATCCCCGTTTCTTGCCCTGTTTCTCTTTTTGCTTCTTACTGCTTTACATTCATTCTGCTCCTCCCACTATTCGCTATTAGAATTAATCTGAATATCATCAATGTTTAATTTTCTGTCACCCAGTACATTGCACTTCTCTCCTCGAATTCTCCTGAATAGTGAAATGACAGAGCTCTTTCTAAACAGGTTCTTGATTACCTAACAATGTTTGGTTGGCTTCTCAAGCTATATTTCTCTTTCTTTCATTTCTTTTATTTCTTCTTTCTTTCCTTTCTTTCTGCCCCTGCACATAACCTCTCACACTCTTTCCTCCTTCTTTGCTGGGCACAAATATATCATCTATTACAAAAATCTGCTTTTTCTTCTTTCTTACATTCTCTTTGCTTCTCTGCAGCTTTTTCCCTGTCTTTCCTTCTTTTTCTTTTTTCTCACTTTTCCTAATTCCCAGCCTATTTTACATCAGTAGTATTCCCTTGTCTTCCTGAGCTATTAAAAACTTGAAAATTATTTAAATAAGTTTTATATGTTTATAGAGCATAGGATTATCTCTTTAGATGTTGTGATTACCAATAATCACAACATCCTGCTAGATTACCAATAATCACAAGATCTGCTAGGGACAGATCTTAGTACTCTGAATAGCATGAGTAGGTATCAGTACACTGAAGCCAAGGACACGTCAGAGGGAGAGACCCACCTGGCAAAGACATGTCTGTCACAGTGGCAGAGCTTTCTATCCCATCATGTCTACAACCTTTAACACAACAGTGATGGGAAAACAATGCGATAACATGCCTTCAAAATTCCTAACTCTAAAAAGATCTCACTAATACTGAGGCTATGAATTTCCACAGAACTCAAAAACTGATGAAAATGACTGGAGAGAGCAAGAGACAGACAAGCAGCGGAGTGAAACAGTAAGACGACCAACCAATTTAAAGATGTAACTAAGGCGCTGAATGCCGCTCACTAAATGGCCAAGTTTGTAGAAGAAACAAACAAGCCGCTGAATGAACCTGGAAAGACAACGCAGGGTACAAAAAACCACTTCAATAAAGAATTAGAGGATATGAAAGGAATCAAGCAGAAATCCTAGAAATTGAAAAAAACTGAATTGAAGAGCTTATCAGTAGGTGTAATCAGTCAGAAGGGAATAGCAGGACTTGAGGACAGGGTGATACAGTAGAACATTTATTCAGCAATACACAAAACACAGTGAGAAGATGATCCACGAGCTCCTACACGACTCTAAAACAACAAACCTACGGGTAACTGGAGTTGACGGAGAGCTGGAATCCAAAGGCTAAAAGGCATACTCACAAAAATTACTGCACAAGATTTTTCCAAGTCTAAGCAATGAGTGTGATACCAAGGTAAATGAGGCATTTAGAAACTGAAATCAACACAGCTAGAAAAGAACCTCTCCATGACACATCATAGTAAAAAAATCCTACAAATTCAGAACGAAGATGGGATATTAAAAGCTGTTAAGAGAAAATACCAAATGACTTCTGAAGGCAAACCCAGCAGTTTCTCAACACATTCTGAAAGGCTGGGAAAGTTTTCCATGCCCTAAAAGAAAAAAAATGCCAATCCAGATTTCTACACCCTGCAAAACTATCATTCAAAATAAATGAAGAAATAAAGATCTTTCACAACAAAGACAGATACATAAATTTATGAACACCAAAGCAACACTGCAGAAAATACTCAAGGGAAACAGAGTCTGTAAGTTAAACATCACCTAATATCCTAAAGGAAAGATTAATTCTCAGTAGGAGAGTAGTTAAATGAAGGAAAAATAAATCATCATTGGAAAAATAATACAATGACAGGAGTCAATAAGTAATTCTCAATGACAACTTTCAATGTAAATGGGCATTTCTCCCTAATCAAAAGACACAGAATGGCAGCTTGGACCAAAAAAAAAAAAAAAAAAAAAAAAAAAAAAAAAAAAAAAGAGAAAAAAGAAAAAAGAAAAAATAGAAGACACACATTCTTAATGTGGCAGTCCTCTACCAGGTCAGTTAAATATTCCTGGATACAAACTCACCCTCTCAAAGTACTCTCAAGGTAGGAACAAAGTAACGAGGATCAAAGTCATGGCAAATTCCACCCTCTTCCCCTAAGCCCTGAGTAAAAAACATCACTACTTCATCTAATCCCAATGATATCATCTTTCAAACCTGAAGATATTTTAAAACACTAACAATCTTAATTATTAGCTCAGGCTATCATTTGTCATTTGGACCTGGTGCTTTTTTTAACCCAACATCTTATCTTAAACCATAGTGGATGACACCCCCTACAAAAAAAATCCTGTAAGAAAAAAAGAGTAGTTGGGCATGGTGGCACACAGCTGCAATTCCAGCACTCAGGAGGCAGAGGTAGAACCATCCCGAGTTTGAGGCCAGCCTGGGATACACAAGCAAGTTCAAGTAAGTAGGCCAGCCGGTCCTATGTAGTAAGCCTCTGTCCAAAAAAACCCCAAAAAACCAAAAAACAAAAAAACCAAAAAAAAAACCTCACGCTAAAACCAAATAAACAAAAAATAAAGTACGCTTATGGGAAACAGAAGATGAGAACTGATTACATACACCAGAAGAAAGTT